GCCCGAACATCCTGATGACGAGAGCAGGCTTGTCGATTTTGCAGAAGGTGGTGAGCTTCGTGATGAACCTCGGCTTCGGGCCGAAGCCAGTTCACCGGAACACCAACGGACTCACTTTCCCAAGAATCCCTTCTGCAAGATTTGCAACATCGCTAAGAACACCTCAATGCGTGTTGCCCGGAAACCAGGGGGGCGGAGTGACGATCTTCTCGACGCACCCACCGCTCCCTACCAGCAGCTCGCTACTGATAGCGTGATCTTGGCGAAAGGCGATGAACACGTTGGCATCACCATAGGCGGAGTAAAATCCCACCATGTCATCAAGGATGTGTTTTCCGGCGCAAGGGTCGCATACCCGGTCTCGAAGAGAGACATTCCGTCGCACGCAAGGAATCTCAGGCATGTCATTGGCCTCAGAGCCAACGAACTCGCTCCACACTGTCTCATAAAAATGGACGAAGCTGGAGAGTTGCAGGGAGCGGCCGAGGAAGTAGGGATGATCCCCGAAACTTCGTTGCCGAATCGCTGGCCACACAACTCCGAGCTCGAGCGAGATGTCCGAGAAGAGAAGGAGTGTTGCAGGAGCATACACCATCAATCGGGTTTGCCCTACTCTCTGCACACGCACTCCTATCCCTTTGCATGCCTCTCGATGTCTTTCGACCGACCGTCCACGTTCGATCCGACAAAGACGCAATGGGAAGCACTCACCAAGGAGAAGTTCGATGGCGTCCGCTGTTGTTTCGGACAGCTCGTTTGGTATCGCCTAAAGTCAGCTGGAAAGAGAACCTTAGAACCTAACATGGCCCCAGGCTTGTTCATGGGTTGGCGTATCGATCCAGGGATGCGATATCGTAGGGTACTAAAAGTTATGGACTACCAAAGTTTCAGGACCTACTGTCCATGATGTGGCCGAACCTGAGTTGCGTCGAGGAAGGCGATCCTGTTTTCCCGATCGCGGCCGCTGCCGATCGAGCCCTGCGAACAGGCGATGGCGAGGTTCCTGAGTATGCCATCAGAGACGTTCCTTTCATTCTTGAAGGCATCCCAGCCCCGTCAACTCCGTCAGGCTTTAAGTCAAGAAGTGTGTATATCACCATTGAACGGATTATACAGTTCAAGGAGACTCCTGGATGCAAGGCTTGCACCGGCCATGCTAGTTCTAGGCATCACACTGACGAATGCCGCAAAAGGTTTGCAGAGCTAGTTGAAAGTGAAAAGGAAGAAGCGAAGGCCAAAAAGGCCGCAAGTGAGGAGGCCACCAAACCAAGTAAGGGTGAAGATGAGGCAGCTGCTACACGCGCTGCAAAGGCGTCCTCCCTGGAACCTCCAGAAGCCCCAGAGATTGAGGCACCTGAGGAGGGAGACCCCGATATCGTCCGTGCCTTGCTTGGAGAGCCCGCCTCTTCTCGGCCCAGTGTTCCGCATACCAACGCTGTCCCCGCATCAACTAAGAAGGATGAATGGGTTTATAAGCCTAGCGGTAACGTGTTAATCCGCGTGCATGATCAGCCTACGATTAAACTTTTCACTCCCAAGGATGTCGGTGACTGTCCCGTGTCAGTGTGCAGAATCACGCCCGGTAGGACCACTCGCGTTGTGTCCCAGCAAGATGGTAGCAAGGAAGATATCAGTGATGGTTGGGCAGGCAGATTCTCAGAACATCGAGAACTCCCTGCGTTCTGGACTGGCCCATTTTTAGGTTATATAGTGATTCCGAGCATTCGGCTGCAGCTTTAAGCGCAGCAGGGGGGCTCAGTCCTCACGAGGGTAATATCCCAGTCAGCTCAGGAGCAGCCGTGTCAACCGCTTCCAGCACAACACTTGCTGAGACCACGAGGGAAAAGCCGTCCGTTTTCGGCAGCTTCAGGGGGGCCAACGCCCTCCAATCAGCGTTGGCAATAAGCGTGCTCGCAAGCGCCTAGCGCATGATGCTGTTGGCCCGATGTTTGAGTTTGCTTGTTCACCCAATTCCTCAATGGGTAATGTGTTCAAGGATCTCAACATCCCACATGTCCGATTAGCAAAGGAGTACATTGACTTAGAGTCAGCCGTTGCGGATGAGCAGCTCGCGTACCAAATCTCGCAGTGCGTCCAACCCAACTTGTGGGCAGCCATTCCATGTGTCTCAGGATCGCCCTGGCAGAGGCTGAACCTCCACAGGTTGGGTAAGCCGTTTAAGAAAAAGTTGGGAGAAAAAGTAAAACAGTCCAAAGTGATGTTTTCAAAGTTTGCATTGCACGCCGAGCATGTGTTGAAGGCCAGCGGATCAGTCACCTTCGAGTGGCCACGTGACTGCGAGGGCTGGCAAAGGCCAGATGTAGCCGAGTTCTTCGAACGCCACAAGGACGTGTTCCACGGTGTTTCGTTCCACGGCTGTGCTGTCGGCTTGACGGATGAAAATGGTTCACCCATCAAGAAGCCTTGGCACATCAAAACTACATCAAAGGCCCTTGCCGAAGCATTCGCGATCAGTGTCCGCATCCAGCGGCAGGGAGCCGAACCTCCCGCACTGCATTCTACCCTGAACAAATGTGTGGTTTGATCGCCAAGGCGTTGTATCCCAAAGTGTGTAGGACTTCGGTTCAAGCAAATGCCTGTTGTTCCAGTCACTCTGCAGACGGAGCATCGTGTTAAGGAGCAATCCCTAAAGCACGAATCTCCTCTTTCCGGAGCGGATGACTTCACCCTCCTCGTTGAACCAGAGTCTAAGACAAAAGAGATCGTCGAGGAACTCCTGGACGTCCAAGGTCTACTCGCTAGTGCTGTCGGCATGCCCGCCAAGGCTGTCGAAACAGAAGCACACGCAATGGTCACCAAACTCCTGTCCCGTGCCGAGATGCTTGCATCTCCTGAAGCATTAAAGCAGGAGGCGACCGGACTCCAAGACGTAGGAGTATGGGATAGTTCAACTGTCTGGGAGAAGGCTGAGGTCGCAGCTCAAGCGCGACAGTCTGGGATCAAGGTGCACCAGGTGCACTTTGGTCAGCTCATGACGATCGCCAGCATCAAGTTCTATGAACTCGCGAAGCACCTCCAAAAGGTAAAGGGGCGCATCGTGTTCAGGGGAGACTGTGCAAAAGATGAAGCCGGCGCACCCGCGGTGTACCAGGAACTGGGGGCCAACCCCACCTCGGTACAAGGCCTAAACGCCTGTCTGACGTATGGGTGTATCCCAGGACACACGGTCACCACCGCTGACGCGGTAAAAGCCTATGTCCAGGCGTTCCTTAGCTCACAGTTTCAGACGTGGATTGAACTCCCACCCGAGTTGCGGCCAAAGGAATGGGGTTCCAAGTTCGTGAAACCCGTGGTCTTGTTGATTCGTGCCCTATATGGTCACCCTGACGCAGGAGGTTTGTGGGAGGCACACCTTAAGAAACTGCTTAAGCAGCTGGGAGGGGAAGAAATCCCAGAGTTAAGGGGTAGGCCTTATGCTCTCGACTTACGTCGATGACTTGACCCTTTCGGGTCCCGCAGATGCACATGAAGCCTTTTGGGAAAAGCTTACAAAATTGATAAATGTAGAGCCTCCCGAGCCGATCTTTCGGGTGCTCGGGCGTAATCATGTCTTTATAGATGGCCCGCAGAACCTCAAGAGCATGATCTGAATGCAGCTGTAAGCGCATTAAAGGGTGCCGTTGCCTTTGACATGAATGACTACGCCCGTCAAACTGTAGAACTGTTTTGTTCTATAACCGGCACTCAGCCCGAGAAGCTCCGGAAGGTGACTACTCCGTTCTGTCCAGACGGATCACTTCCTCCAGAAGATGATCAGTTAGCTGGTGAGCTAGCCCCAAACGCGTGCAAACAGCGCGTCCTGACATCATCAAGCCCATAGGTGACCTAGCAACCGCCGTGCAGAAGTGGTCTCGCAACCATGATAGGCAACTCGCCCGTCTTATCGCATACATCCACTCGACTACGCACTACCGGTTGGTAGGAGTCATAAAGGACAACCCGCAAGATCTTCACCTCGCTCTGTATGCGGATGCCGACTATGCTGGAGAAAGGGATGCGAAGTCCACGTCCGGTGGCTTCCTGGTCCTCAAAGGACCGAACACCCATTTTCCTTTAGCGTGGTTGAGCAAACGACAGACATCAGTGTCGAGATCCACCACCGAAGCCGAGGTCGTTTCGCTCACATTCTCTTTGTATCAAGAGGGTCTTCCCTCTTTGGCCTTATGGGAACGTCTGCTTGGACGCCCGGTTGAGCTGGTGCTGCACGAAGATAACCAAGCCACTATCCTCGTTGCCAAGAAAGGTTACTCCCCAAAAATGCGGCACATACAGCGCACTCACAAAGTGAACTTGTCCGCACTTGCTGAGCAACTTGAACCCGGCACGGGTGTAGTGATCAAGTATGTAGCTACTGATCTCCAGGCAGCTGATATCTTTACGAAGGCACTGCAGCCCTTGAAGTGGGACCACGCACTAAAGCTTTTAGGCATCCGAACCAATTTGCCTGAAAAGCTGAGAGATGTCCGGCCTGAGATGTCCAAGCAGTAACAAAAGTGCAAAATCATAGGTAAGCCCTCCTTATGGTCTGGTAAAGGACCTTGCATCACATAGGTCGCAGCTCAAGCGCGACTGTGCAATACAAGTCTCTTAGTGGACGCGGGGAGGGGGGAGTTGAATAATCACGACCCCTTGACCCCCAAAGAGGCACCCCAGAATGGTGTGCATGTATGTGATGTTGGAGGCCCCGTTGATAGCAAGAACATTTGGCTCAAGATGCCCAGAAGATCAAATCCAGGGTTTGCGCTCGCCTGCCGGACTGGGGTTAATAAGGGTCCCGGTTTCTGGTTCGCGTTGTTTCTTTCCCTGTTGAGTTGCTCTAGGCAAAGGCTGATGCAACATGTGCCTGATTTTGTGGGTTCTGCTTAGCGATGCAGCTGAGTCTGTATGTTTGCTCAAACCAGCCAGTCTGTTTGTTATTCTTGAAGTACATTTGCCCATTCCAGTAATCGGCAATGCTTTGACCCTTGCGAACCACCCAGGTCTTCGACACCACAATCGGTCCTGCACCCTGGGAGATCGAAGGCACTCTCACTGTCAGCAAAGACGTCATTTCATGGTCACATGTCAAAAGGTTGGCCGCGCCGCGTGCAGTGCAGTGAGCCGGGCGCGCTTGATTGTTTGTTTTGCGCAGGGCCCGCGCCCACCCCAGCTGCCCCAACCACGCGCATGGCCACTGGCGCGAGTCCGAGCCCCAGTCGCGTGACGCGCCAATGTCAAAGTTGGGATGTTACATAGATGCCAGAGACGTTTTGGCGGGACCAGCCAAGAATCTGAGATTGGAGACTCTCTGACTCTCTTCCCTCATGTGGGAGTTCCAAAGAATAAGACACAGACCGCCTCAATCCTCCCACGACAAGGCAGCAGGGTCCATCATTCTGTGATTGTTGTTTTGGGATCATGAGTCCTTTCGACAGGACAAAGGCGTTGACCCTTCATGCGCATGTTGAGGCAAAGCAATTCTAGGAGAAGAGATCCAGAATCAGTATTGCACGGCAACAGGATGTGTGCGTACTTGGTTGAGATACAGCTCTCATCGGCCCCCATTCAGGTTTGGGGATGGACCTTTTTTTTAATATAGCGATTTGCGCAGCTTCACTGGATTTCTGGACCCCAGACTCCAAAGTCCATTGGGCTGATGGGCCGTCTTGCATGCCACAGATGTCTCATAGAGCCTGTGTAAGGACTGGGCAGCAGCCGAGTGATGTCGTCAAGACCTTTGCTGTCGCGATGAGAAGACGGAGAGGTCGAAGATTTCTCCATGATGCCAAGGGGGCGGCAGATGCAATCGACTTGTGCGTGCTGCATAAGATGGTGGGAGCATGGCATCATTGCGCAAGCGGAAGAGATAGTGCAGCAAGCCAGCACCCGGATTGCATCTGTGCCCAACGAATTTCTTGCCTGACTTGTAGTAGGGCTTTCTTCCCGAGCTGTATTCAAATCGCAGCGCCTTGGATGTGCTCCGGAAGGAAGAATCAGACTTGCTTTGTCATGTCGCCTTTAAGCCTCGCTCAGCAGGCAAAAGCTTCTGAGATCACAACCTCAGGCAAGCCCAAGCCATACAATCGACGAGTTTGCCGAGCTGAGGCTGATGTAGGGCAAGCTACCAGCTTGCAGAGAAAGAGCTTGCTCAGGAGCAAGGATGCATATCAAATGTGCTTTCTGGCACACGGAAGTGATGGGCAGAAGATGTTGCACGGTTTGTTGTTGCTTTTCACCAAGCCACTTCTTCCCTACCTTGCTGGTGTTTGACGCTTCGCAGTGAAGCAGCTGCGAGAATGATAGGGCCGGAAATTGGGGCATTTGGCGATGTGAGCCTCTCCCAGAAGCCAACTTTTTTCAGAATTCCGGGCGCTGCCGCCCAGAGTGGCTTGCCGGCCAAGGTGTGGCGTCTTGCAAAGTTTCTCTTCCATTGGTCCGTAGTCTACGCTGAATGACACCAAGTGCCCCGTGTTTGCTGCCTCTTGCAGCCAGACGCCTGGACCACATGCACCTGGCAGATTCCCTGATGGCGAACTGCAATTCAGCGAATTTCGATGCCTTGGGATCTTTCTTGCATGGTGCGACAATGAGATGCCTATGCACAAAGTTCCAAGATGTTCCAAGGCTTGATTGTGTGGCAGCGTCGTGCAGGATCCAGCGTTGGCATGTAATGTTTGGGCCCAAGTCCACCAACAGGAAAGGAAGCACCTGTTCAATCGATTGCTTGTTATTTTGCGTCAATGGATTGCAATCATGTCCTTCTTTTACGTTCCTCCGATCAACCTCAAAGTTGAGCACCGGGCTGCATGCTTTCGAACTGAAGATCCGGATCAACAAGCACAAAAACAGCTTGCATGCGGCTTGCGTCACGATACTCTATGGCAACTCTTTGTGTACTGACTGTGCGCTGACATTTGCCGACTGTTGTGCCTCCCGTTGCCAATTTGCTGGCTTGCAAGCTGTTGTCAGCCACACCGGGCAAAGGGTAGTCTCGCCTGCCTGGTCCTTGGCTGCCCTGAGTCGATGATCGACCTATGGAACTTGCATGTGCCCTCAGCACAGGTTTGCGGGATAGCTCGCCAATTTGTCTGAGTACTGAAAACGACTTGAAAGCTTTGCTTTGTCAGTGGCAGCGGCAGAGATTGCAATGTCCTAAACAGGGTTTTGCCACGGAAAGCAAGAAAGCAGCATTTTAGCGGCAAGGATCCGCGTCAAGTGGGCACACGGCTCGATCTCAAAGTCATTCTGAGGTCATCATGCCTGAGGGGAAGAAGGCCGCACGGATGGACTTTGGGCTCGGGATGTAGGAAGTCATCAGCCCTAAGTTGGGCTTCAAGACAACCATGAGATTTCTGTTTCGGGAATCTGACCCACAGGAATTGTTGCCTTGGCAGTAGAGACACAGAAGGTGGTAACAGTAGATTGCTGGGATGTCCCGTTCCAGTCGCAGTAGTGCCAGGTATAGAACGTGGCATGAGAAACGGGTTGAGTCAATGAGTCTGGACTGGTTCCTCCAGTGCTATCACGGGCATGCGTTGGAGTGATGGCGTGAGTGCGGAGGTACAGCATGATACGGAGGAGGGCAGTGAGTTCCTCAGAGATGCAATGCAGCAGGCGATGGCTCAGATCAGCCGCGTTTGTCGTTTGTCGACATGTTCAAATTCAAGCCCTTGGAACGGCTTTTGCTTGGGCCAACTGCCAAGTCGGTGAGCATGTGATCTAGAGGCCCCAACCAGATTCAATGGAGAGAGTTCCCAGAGATGTTCTCCGTGCTTTGCCAATTAGGGTCCTGATAGTTTGCCAGGCGGCTCACGCCATGGGCAAGTTCGAGAATGAGAAGGCCGGAAGTCACTTCTGAACTGGCGAAAACCCTGGATGATTTCTCCCGAAACGCTGTAACCAGATCTATCCCTTGAGAAGGTCCAAAGCTTTGCACCTGCAAAGCACAGCCAAAGCTTTGCGGAGATCCCAAGACTCGACGTGAGGACATCAGCCGGCACATCAAAGCTTTCTTCGACAGCAAGCCTGGCACTGAGCGTGACATCCGGCATTGGCCATCAAGGAAAATGCAAAGCAGCATATTAAATTCATTGCAGTTGCCAGGTATGGGCCGAATTGGCACTGCATTGTAGGCAAGGGCTTTGCGACTCACGCAACCTACGAGGCTGGATCAGCATGCACGTTAAAGAGGCCACAAGGGCCAGAGACGAGGCGAAAACTTCGATGTTCTTCGTCCTGCCTCCCCTGGCGATTCTGCTCTACAAGATGGGGTCTGGGCCCGAGAGAGAGGCGCAAAGCTTCGGAGAATCCACTTATCCACTTGGCTGGTGGATGTAGCACCTGGTTGCTCCCAGGTTTCAGGCCCACAGCAAAACGAACGTTTCTGGAGCCCGAGGTGATGCAATCAGCATGTTTCACTCAGAGCCGGCGAGGCTGCAGGCGGGAGTGACTGGTGCATCGATCACAGACTTTGAAGCTTCCCAAGAAGGCATTTAGGACTGGCAGGGCGAGGGTCCCTGGAAATGTTCTGACTGCTAAATTGTCACGGCCTGTCTTAGATTGCGCTCTCAGGCACTTCTGGATGCCGAATGGTCATGGCCAAACAGAGCCACTGCCGGATTTGCCTTGCCAGGGTGCTTCATGTTCAGGTCATTCAAGTCTTGATTTGGTTGGGCAGAGTTCCGGGTGGGCAAGTGTGAGCGACCCTGGCGAGTCTCACTGCCAGCTTCCGGCGAGGGCTTGGACCCCCCAAACCCACGCTCAAATCGGAGGTATGCATGCGAAGCGACTGCAAAAGGCGCTTCCAGCTTGAGACAACTTGCGGCACTGACTACAGGCTGCCAAGATGAAGAGGGCATGAGGTTGGCTCACAAAGCAGTTTAGAACTCCATGACGAAAACAGCAAGACATGTCTAGGATCATCCAGGAAAGCGAACGACTGCGCTATAACTGGCAAACTTGGAAACAAATGCGAGGACGGATGATCTGTTTGTTTTGAACATGCATGTGTGTTCGCCCTTTTTTGGGAGTGAACATGCATGTCTTTCGCCCTTTTCTAGGAGCTGACTAGCACGACCGTACATGTTTCAAGACTGAATGCACGTCAAGATCCATGAAAGCCTCAAAGAGCACATTGCGGCGAAGCTAAACAAAGGCTAGTCAAGCTGGGTAGTGCTTGTCAGAAATGCTGCAATGCTGGATGATGCTTGGCCGTCGCTGGAGGACTAAATGTTGGCCCCAAGTGGCAGCTTCTCTTGATTGTCCTTGGTGAGTATGTGTGCGTGGCTCCTCAGAGTCCGAGTGTTTTTTAAGGAGACGGCAAAGGACATGATGCATTCCAATGTGCACGTTGCGCGCGCGACATTCCAATATTTGTTTACTTGGTGGCGACAGGTGCATTGTGTTCTCGAAAGCTGCAGGAGTGCTCCACACGGGACTAGTTTGGTGTGCTATTTCTATGATGTGTTTGGGCAAAATCTGCAGTCGCTTAAAGACGCGCGCTAAGTTGGGCGTACGCGTATCAGCGGTGCCACATCACAAGGAGCCCGATGTGCTCAACGAGGACGAGCGAGATGCGTTGCTGAACAAGCGCTCCTCAGTAGACATCGAGTCCGTGCGATCAACTGTCTTGGGCTTTATATTGAAGATGCTTGCTCCGTGTCGCCTTTGGCATTCCTTTGTGTTGAAGATAATGTGTGGCAGCATTCTGTTTTGATATGAGAAAGCAATGAATCCGCCAAGTATGAGAGCTTTGATTGTTTTCATATTGTTCTCAGATGTGATGAGCTGTTAGAGCTTGGCTATCTTTGGCTGCAACTCAATGTGGAAGTGTGCCGAATATGTGCTTGGATGACTGCGTCAAAGCTCGATCCTACGGCAACAACAAAGAAGTCGGAAAACCTAAAATGCATTGAGTTGTTTGGTTTTTGCTCAACATACCAAACAACTGAAAAAGAAGAAAAGCAGCTCGAGAGAACCAAAACACACACAACTTTGGGCAAAACCAAAGCATCTCCTCAGAGTTGTGGTTTTTTGTTTACTCTTCCCGCGGTTTTCTTGTGTTTGTAGCGTGTCCCTGATTCGAGCAGGTTTGACACTGCATGATTAGACCATCTTGGAGCCGCGGTGAGCAGTGAACTAGATGTTGGATGTGAAATTGGGATTCAACACTTGGCCTTCAAGTTTGGACCCAGTGTTATAAAGCTTCTTCAAAGGCTCCTTATGAAGCTCCTTATAAACGCTCCTTATAAGGCTCATTGTAACGCTCCTTATAAGGCTCTTTAAAATAATTCCTCAGAAGGCTCCTTGCGAAGCTGCTGGTACGACTCCTTTTGAAGCTCACTTGTTAAGCTGCCTAAACGACTTCTCATTATCTCCTCATAAAGCTCTTTATAACATTCGTATAAAGCTCCTTACACGGTTACACGACTCCTTTATAAATTAAGCAAGGCTCCTTAAAAGGCTCCTTGTACAATTCCTTGCAAAGGTGCTTGTAAAGCTCCTCCTCAGGCTCGCTATAAAGCTCCTTATAAGGCGCCTGAAGCAGCTTGTAAGACTCCTTCTAAAGTCATTTGTAAAGCTACTCATAAAGTATACAGCTCCTTATACTCCTTGAAAAAGCTGCTTATACAGCTCCTGTTAAAGCTTCTTATACAGCTCCCTTTAGGCTCCTTACACCAAATTGGATTTTATTCGAAGTTTCATGAGAGTGTAAAGGTAATTGATTCATCTTGGAAGTTTGTATGTTCAATCCTTTCCATATTATGCGCATAGAGTTTAATAAGGGGAGAGTTCCATTAGACTTCTATCCTCAGTTAAAATGCGTACCCCGCCGACCGCTCCACGGACGGTTTGAGAGCTTTAGTAGCAATGCAACTCACAGTATTCTTGTTTCAATGCTGCATCCAAATTCAATCAACAAGTTCCTTTTGCCACTGAAGGCAGTGTTGAGAAGAATGCGCGAGCGATCCAATCCGGATTTCAGAGACTACTGTAGCGTGCAGCTGGGCGGCAGCGCTCCCTTATGGGTGTACCCGTTCAACACCTGTTCAAACCCCGTTACTGCCTACTCTACTACTGCTACTACTGCTACTACTGCTACTACTGCTACTACTGCTACTACTGCTACTACTGCTACTACTGCTACTACTGCTACTACTGCTACCACAACTGCTACCACAACTGCCACTGCTACTACTATTACTACTACTACTACTACTACTACTACTATTACTACTACTAGTACTACTACTACTACTACAACAACAACAACAACTACTACTACTACTGCTACTACTGCTACTACGACAACTACTCCTCCTCCCACTATTGCTTTTTCCTTCTACAGCTACGCTACTGCTACTGTTGCTGCTACTGCTACAGCTATTCCAACTACCACTAGTACGACTACTCTCCTACTTCTCCTACTTCTCCTACTCCAACGGTCACTACTACTACTACTACTACTACTACTACTACTACTACTACTACTACTACTACTACTACTACTACTACTCGTGGCGCTAGCTTGGCGCCAGCGTTGTGGGATACACACGCATTTTCGATTGCAGCCGTTGCAGCTTCCGCTCAATACCTATGGAACAAGCGCTGCCGTTCAATACATATTGAACAGAGCCCCAGGGTAACATTCAACAGCTGGGCTTAGAAAAACACGCGTCTACACACCTCTATTTTCGTGAATAGAACTTAGTGGGTCAATGGGAATGTAAATATGAATCCCTTTTCACCAGATCTACAGAACGTCGAGTTCGAGTTGCGAGAGGCTTGAAGAACGACATAATTGCAGTTGTTTGTTCTAATTTAGATGTAATGTAAATGACTGTCTATGTAAATACAATTTGAGTGTCTATTGCGATTGGTAATCTAAGCAGGAAGTCCTTTCCAAACAGGGTTTTAGTAAAGGTTAGTTGCATTCAAAAAAGGCAAGTGGAAAGGTAGTGGATAGTAGCAGAGGAGCAGTGGAGCAGATTTGCAAAGGTGGACAATCGCAAACGAGCAGATGTGGAAAGGTATTGGATGGTAACAAATGAGGTGATTTGCAAACATGGAAGATGTGCAAACGTTGGAAAGGTAGTTCGTGGCGGGGAAGCTATTATATTTGTATATTTGCAATTTTTGTTTAAGAATATATATATATATAAATGTATATATGCTTAATATGTATCTATACACAGACATATGCTTGTATTCCAAAGTGTTGGTCATCGTGAGTATGCGCGCATCTCATGCAATAGTTGTTTTATATAATATACGATATGATACAGTAGTGTGCGTATATACACATGCTGTCCAACTTCTTGAGGCAGGGCTCGTTGGACAACCCACTGGGACTACTGTTGTGTCTTCCTAGCCGTTTGCCCTAGCATGCAGTCGCAGGATGTAACTGTTGCATTCTGGAAGAGCTGAGTAGCTGAGGTGTGCACCGCAGCTTGCACAAGCTGGTGAACGAACCCTAGCAGAAGTTAGCAGTCTGAGTGAGACTTTGGACGTTCACTTCAAATTCTCGGGCGTGAGCGTGAAGACTTGTCCGATCTTGCCTCGTTGCGTCTGCAGGATCTGGCATGGAACAGTAATAGATGGCTCAGAATGACACAGCTGGCGCGTGTCTGTCTGTGTGTGTGTCTCTGTGCGTGGTGCAAGGATCTGAACCTTCGCGACGAAGAGATTCAGAGGACGGCTTCGCGTAGCAGATTGACTGCACTCAATTCCCATGCTGCATTCTGTTTGAGGTTTCCTTCAACAAAAACAGTGTGTGTGTTGTGCCGCCAGGCTTGGGCAACAGCATTTCCGAGATCAAGCCAGCCACCTGCAGCAGTCCTACCCAAATGTTCCAGAGCTGGACGGGTCGATGAGGGGCGGGGTGGAGAGGTTTGGAGACGGAGGGCTGTCCCAAAAAGAGTGGCGGACCTGCAGAGTTTAGTCACCTCCGGTGCAGGCGGATCCGCATGAGCGCTTCGTCAAGCTGTAGAAAAGAAATCCCAGTCAAACAGATTTGGGGGCTCGCGCAAATTGCATAGCAGATGGAGCAAGCCAGGGCAGGCAAAGCAAGCTTGCCAGCCTGCTTTTTTGGTGGTAATTCGGCGTTCTTGAATGTGTATCACGGGTGTTCTTTACAGTGATTTTGCCACTCGTAGACAGCAGACACCAGGCACCTCTCCTGGCAACTGTTTTTTTTTTTTGAGAGGGGCATGTGACCAGGATTTTCACCCGGCCAGGAGCGGCTCCGCCAGCGGGGCGCAGAGTGCGGTTTCCGGGTCGCGGACAGGGACCGCCCGGCCTGGCAGGAGGAGGAGCGCGAGGAGGCCCGCAGTTGATGGCAATATCGAAGTCATTCGAAGTCGGATCGTGCGGAGGTTCTCTTGAGCTGACTTGAGCTGATTGATGTTGATTCGTTCCAGGGGCTTTACGATTCTAGGACCCCTACTGGTGGCGCCGCGATCCGGAGTCGCTGTGCTTTGATCTGCACAGCACGGCGGAGGAGAATCTCACCCATGGCGCGCCTGCTACAACTCAGTGGCGCCTCGGATGGGACTGAGATCTCGAAACCGCGAGGTGCTGGCCCTTTCCAAGACACGAGCTTCAGATTTGTTTTTGTGGACTCTCAGGAATGCTGGAATGGACCACCCGAAGTTGCCAGGTCTTCCGGCCGTCAGGTGGTGAGGTCCCAAACGCAAATGCCCAATTCCATTCCATTCAAAACGGGTTGCCGAAAGAGATGACCATTGCAGTCTGGAATGCAAAGAATCCTGGTTGACCCGCTGAGCAGCGCAGCTTTGCTGCTGCCCCCTCTTTCCTTGAAAGCATGCCTCTGGCTTCGATTCTAGCCATAGTGACTGCTTAGATTTGTGTAAAGTAGGGATGGCAGCGTGCCTGGATGTGCCTGGTGTGAGATGTTCTAGACCGATAAGGCAAAGCAAACCATAGATGCCCGGATAAACCGCTTGCAATGTGCTGGCTCCTTTTCTTGATTTGATCCATGTGAAGTGCCGGCATGCCAGGGGCCTTGCTCGACCGTTTCGATTTGGCTGTGCTGCTGGCAAGTAGGTGGGATGTGGAGAAGCTGGCGGAGTCTGAGAACTTTGTCGCCATCAGCAAGCCTGCAGGCATGTTTGTGGTCACCGATGAGCGGGGCCTCTGGGAAGAGTCTGCCACCAACTTCATCCACGTGGCGCACCGCAGGCGAGAGATAGGCATCCCCCAATCTCTAATAATCAATGCAAAAGAGAGCCGAATAAGGAAAGGAAACTGTTTCGAGGTGTAGCGGATTTTCGAGGTGTGACTTGAGCTTAAGGAAGCGGAGCTTCGATTTAGGGCAAAGTGGGCGCGCGCGAGGGTGGAGATGCCGACCCGCTTCGAGCCGCGGCAGCGGGGGATCTGCCACCGCCTGGACAGCCACACCAGCGGCGTGCAGATCTTCGGCAAGAGCTGGGGCGCTTTTCGGCACTTTGTGTGCCAAAACAGCGGCTCTGCCTGCGCTTAGACGGAATGAGACGAAAGCACCGGCAAAGCCTTCGATTTTTCCAAGACTCTTCGTTGGCGAAACGTTTGACGGGAGGTTCAAAAGCATCCCTTAGCTCAAAAGGCAAAAGTCAGAAGCAGGATGAGCCTAGCCCAGGCTCACATCGGGTGCAAAAGGAGTACATTGCGCTGTTGGAGGGACGGCTGGGTGGTGAAGATGGGCCCTTCACTGGAGCAGCTTGGCATGCCGGAGGAAAAGTGGAGGCATTGGATCAACCCAGCTTTCGGCAGAGTCTACCGTGAAGACATAGCTGGATCAGACAATACTGTTGGTTGCTTGCAATTCCTTTCGTGCCGCTTCTTCAAGCGTTGCTCTCAGCACTTGTCACCTTATCAGAGATGCTTCAGGTGCAGAAAGGCAATTCATATTTATTGCCTGAGCACCTCTCAGTTAAGGTGGTAGATGTGCCCATGAAGAAGTGGCAGGAGCTGATAGCGTTTGCGGGCTGATACCCGACTGAAAGGTGTGACTGATCCCTGGTACTGCAATGCAGGACTTCGCACGCAGAGAGTTTGGCAGCGTCGCTTGCACGAAGGACACAGGGACAGCGTGTCCGGGGTCTCGTAAGATGCAATGCTTGATTGGGTTGGATGATCGGATGGCACGCCGGGATGCTTTGCATTGGCTTTGTGCAGCTTTAGGCATTGCCATGCACCCTTCAGACCCGAGTGCAGATCTCCATTGGTATAAGCATACGTTGTAGCATGAGTGAACAGCGTGAAGGTTGTTCAGATGGCAACAAAGCACACGTTGCACAGATGATATTTAGGAGCGGCAATGCGATACCGTGTGAACTTCCCAAGGAGGGCCAAGCCTTTCCAGCCGTGACCTGGTACACGGTGCTGAGGCAAGCGACAGGGCATCAGATGGCCAGGGTGATGCAAGAGTTGGTGTCTGATCAGTCAGCTTTTTGAGTTGCGTCGCTCACACTCGAACTCCCAAAGGCGAGGAAGCTACCTGTTCCAATCGTGCAGTGGGACTTCCACCTGAATTTTGCGTGCAGGCATTGGCGTGTGCCCGCAGTGGGCCGGCTAGCCTTCTGGGGCGAAGACCGGTGGTTCACCTTGGTGCAGTTGCGGATACTCACAGGCGTGCAGCGCGCAGGGATGGAGAAGCCAAGTTTGGTCGAATTGGCGCGCAGAGCCTGGGTGTTGGTCGGTCATGAGCTGGTGAGAGTGTTGAGGGACAAGAGGATTCTATGCCATTGGATCATCCAAATTTGCTCAGGGAGAACGCACCAGATCCGGCTGCACATGGCTTTCCTGGGGCATCCGCTCCTCAGCTACAGAGTCGATAGTGCTGCAGTCTTGCTTGCGTGCTGCCCACTTGCCTCAGGCTGGTGGGAGACATCAAGTACAATCCAGCCCGCTATGAGCATGATTGTGCTCTTGTGCCGCGCATTTTCCTGCACTGCCTGAGAATGGAGTTTCAGGAGAGAGCTTTGTGAGTGCAGCGGCTTTCCGGGTGCCGTGTGTCGTGAGTGAAGCTGTAGCGGGAGTCCGAGCGAGGACATGGATGGCGAAACCTTCACTGCTCCCAGCAACTTGGAAGCAGCTGATCGTCGGTCAGTTTGGCAAGGGGATCCTCGTGTTTGTTTGTTTGTTTGTTTTTTCCCCGTGTAAGCGTTTGTCTACACAGGTGATCTTGCGCCGGATTTGCAGATGGTGCTTTGCGAGCTACAGAGGCTCTCTGGGCACTCGGAGGACAGATTGCGTGAAGAGGTTCAGTCGGGATGCCCTTCTGCCATTGGAGGAGCGCCTGGACGGGACGCCTTTCCCAGGCAAGGGCAGTCACAGTAAGTCACGCCAATTCCTCCAAGACCTGTAAGATCTGCGTGCGAAAAAGAACCACTTCAGTTTGCGTGTCGGAGGCGTGAGCAAAAAGCCCAGGCTGTCTTGACACGTGCAAAAGGGAGCCAACCGAATCCTCATGACTCGGGCATGCTCCAAGCCCGGTTTGTTTTGCCAGGCTTGGTGCAGATACTGAAGACCAGCAAAGCCCCTGTGGCGAAGCCGGCGTCGCAGGACGCCGGTAACGCCCCAAAACAGGCTACAGCCCTAACCAATCTTTGGTGCCCAAACCAAGTCCCTTTTGGGAGGACTCAATCCATGGCACTCGCAGACTTGTGCACCTTAAGAGGGACATGACCGTATGCCGTTGTGCAGGAAGGAGTGACCATTTTGCACTTCTGCAAGAACTGCAGGGAGTACGAGGTCTGTGGGAGCACTCACTTGGACTAGCCCTACAGGCGTAGAGCGGTGTTTCCCCGATCCCTTTCGGTCTCCCTATGCCATCCCCCAAAAGGCTCCCATTTCGAGAAGCTTTGCTATGCTATCGCCTCCTATCGTCCTTAGTTTTGGACCGCAGCGCTTCAGCGCTTTGCAGGTTGCAGAGCGCAGACTCGTGCATGACTCCCGCTCGGAGCGTGTGGCCATGTACTGGCGGCTGACCTCCTATGCAGGCAACGCTTTGAAGCAGCACGTCAGTGGTTGTGGCAGTACAGAAGGTTCACGGGGAGGGCCTCTTTTCAAGCATTCTCAACGAGTACAGTTTTGCGCTTGGCAAATCCAGCTTCGAGGTTTACGGATAGCCTCAGCTTTGACAAAGTGGGACTCAGCCGCCCTTTGCAGGCGACACGCTGCAGATTTCCGGGCCACACGACTGGGGCCCACAAACCCTGTGGGTGCCTGGGCTCAAAGTCTGACCGGGGAAAAAGGGATGGGATGCACAGAGGTTGGGGCATGGCCTGAACGTGTGACATCACCGATTCAGCACTCAAAGACTTACACATGGAGCTTCCACGTAAGAATGCCGCTGCCCGAAATAAGTATCGCCGGGAAAGAGCGCTTGCCGTGAGTCCAGCTCGTGACCAGGAAAGTTATGACGCTCCTGCAAAGGGCCGTTTTGTGTTTTGAATTCAAGCCAAGAAGTGCGAAAAATCTTGCAGGCAAAAATCGTTACCGGTTGGCCAAAAGCCCAGTTCTTGACAAAGCTGCTACAAACATGCACATGCTGTTGGAAGACCCAGGTGTGCGAACATGATCCGGACCGTTTGACCAAAGGAAGCACCATCCCATTGCGAAGTTTGTCAGCTGATGCAACATGTTCATTGTCCTTGTGAGAACTAATCAATTTTCCACATTTGTGGCCAAGTTGTTTTGACTCATCGTATTTGTTGCTTGTTTCAATCGCACAGAATTCAAGATATTCTCATTTGGGTGGCCTGGCTCCAACCCACAAGGCAACGGTTTCTTCTACAAGTAGTGGTAATGTTGACCTACGATTAGTAAATAGACCATGAATAATGCTAAACTTTTTCAAAAAAAAATAATAAATATACCATGAATAATGCTAAAAGTTTTTTTCCCAGGGGAAAAATATGAAAAAATGAAAAATAATATAAAGTAATTCAAACAAATAACCTTCCCCCCACAAGAGTGAATGAATCCTGAGTTCCCAAGCTCACAAAAGAACATAGAATTCCCATTGGGATCCATGCAAAATGCAGATTTTTATTCAGGGTCAGTGCTCCCAACCCTCATCCCCCATGGAATTTGCATGGTTTCATAGTGAATTTATCCAGGGGTCATGCCAGGGAATCCTGATTTTCCATGGGATTTGCATGCTTCTGGCATCTAATCTTTATTCAGGGTCAGTGCTCCCAACCCTCATCCCCCATGGAATTTGCATGGTTTCATAGTGAATTTATCCAGGGATCATGCCAGGGAACCATGATTTATCATGGGATTTGCATGCTTCTGGCATCCAGTCTTTATTCAGGGTCAGTGCTCCCAACCCTCATCCCCCATGGGATCCTGATGCACCATGGGATTTGCATGCTTCTGGCATCCAATCTTTGGGTCAGTGCTCCCAACCCTCATCCCCCATGAGATTTGCATGGTTTCACAGTGAATTTTTCCAGGGATCATGCCAGGGAAACCTGATTTTACATGGGATTTGCATGCTTCTGGCATCTAATCTTTATTCAGGGTCAGTGCTCCCAACCCTCATCCCCCATGGAATTTGCATGGTTTCATAGTGAATTTATCCAGGGATCATGCCAGGGAAACCTGATTTACCATGGGATTTGCATGCTTCTGGCATCTAATCTTTATTCAGGGTCAGTGCTCCCAACCCTCATCCCCCATGGAATTTGCATGGTTTCATAGTGAATTTATCCAGGGATCATGCCAGGGAAACCTGATTTACCATGGGATTTGCATGCTTCTGGCATCTAATCTTTATTCAGGGTCAGTGCTCCCAACCCTCATCCCCCATGGAATTTGCATGGTTTCATAGTGAATTTATCCAGGGATCATGCCAGGGAACCATGATTTACCATGGGATTTGCATGCTTCTGGCATCCAGTCTTTATTCAGGGTCAGTGCTCCCAACCCTCATCCCCCATGGGATTTGCATGCTTTCATGGTGAATTTGTCCAGGGATCATGCAAGGGAATCCTGATTTACCATGGGATTTGCACGCTTTTGCATCGAATCTTGATTCAGGGTCAGTGCTCCCAACCCTCATCCCCCATGGGATCCTGATGCACCATGGGATTTGCATGCTTCTGGCATCCAATCTTTGGGTCAGTGCTCCCAACCCTCATCCCCCATGAGATTTGCATGGTTTCACAGTGAATTTTTCCAGGGATCATGCCAGGGAAACCTGACATGGGATTTGCATGCTTCTGGCATCCAATCTTTATTCAGCGTCATGAGCCCTGAGACTCTAAATAATAAGCAGACCATGAATAATGCTAACCAGATTCCCCCATCAAAAAATAGATCTGATCCCCTTATCTTTATTCAACTTTATTCATGGTCAAGCTTTCCATTCCACTTGGCTCATCCCACACTTGATTCTAGATTTATCCCAAATCCACAAATTTATGGGATCCCTTTCTTTTAGAATTCCTTTTAAAAAACCATCAAAATCAACACATTGACCCTGGCAGCAAGGGTACCCCCCATGAACCCTGAGGCACTAAATAATAACCAGACCATGAATAATGCTAACCAGATTCCCCCATCAAAAAATAGATCTGATCCCCTTATCTTTATTCATGGTCAAGCTTTCCATTCCACTTGGCTCATCCCACACTTGATTCTAGATGTATCCCAAATCCACAAATTTATGGGATCCCTTTCTTTTAGAATTCCTTTAAAAAACCATCAAAATCAACACATTGACCCTGGCAGCAAGGGTACCCCCCATGAACCCTGAGGCACTAAATAATAACCAGACCATGAATAATGCTAACCAGATTCCCCCATCAAAAAATAGATCTGATCCCCTTATCTTTATTCATGGTCAAGCTTTCCATTCCACTTGGCTCATCCCACACTTGATTCTAGATTATCCCAAATCCACAAATTTATGGGATCCCTTTCTTTTAGAATTCCTTTTAAAAAACCATCAAAATCAACACATTGACCCTGGCAGCAAGGGTACCCCCCATGAACCCTGAGGCACTAAATAATAACCAGACCATGAATAATGCTAACCAGATTCCCCCATCAAAAAATAGATCTGATCCCCTTATCTTTATTCAACTTTATTCATGGTCAAGCTGTCCATTCCACTTTGCTCATCCCACACTTGATTCTAGATTCATCCCAAATCCACAAATTTGTGGGATCCCTTTCTTTTAGAATTCCTTTTTAAAAAACCATCAAAATCAACACATTGACCCTGGCAGCAAGGGTACCCCCCATGAACCCTGAGGCACTAAATAATAACCAGACCATGAATAATGCTAACCAGATTCCCCCATCAAAAAATAGATCTGATCCCCTTATCTTTATTCAACTTTATTCATGGTCAAGCTGTCCATTCCACTTTGCTCATCCCACACTTGATTCTAGATTCATCCCAAATCCACAAATTTGTGGGATCCCTTTCTTTTAGAATTCCTTTTAAAAAACCATCAAAATCAACACATTGACCCTGGCAGCAAGGGTACCCCCCATGAACCCTGAGGCACTAAATAATAACCAGACCATGAATAATGCTAACCAGATTCCCCCATCATAAATTTCCTTCTCAATCCCTCTTGGAATACATGCCTGCCCATGCAAACCATCATGAATGTCCTTCTCAATCCCTCTTGGAATACATGCCTGCCCATGCAAACCCTCATGAATGTCCTTCTCAATCCCTCCTAGAAGGCATGCCTGCCCATGCAAACCCTCATGAATGTCCTTCTCAATCCCTCCTAGAATGCCCTGCCCATGCAAACCCTCATGAATGTCCTTCTCAATCCCTCCTAGAATCATGCATCCCTTATCTTGGAATACATGTCCTGCAAACCCTCATGAATGTCCTTCTCAATCCCTCCTAGAATGCATGCCAGCCCATGCAAACCCTCATGAATTTCCTTCTCAATCCCTCTTGGAATACATGCCTGCCCATGCAAACCCTCATGAATGTTTTTCTCAATCCCTCTTGGAATGCATGCCTGCCCATGCAACCCCTCATGAATGTCCTTCTCGATCCCTCCTAGAATGCATGCCTGCCCATGCAAACCCTCATGAATGTCCTTATCAATCCCTCTTGGAATACATGCCTGCCCATGCAAACCCTCATGAATGTCCTTCTCAATCCCTCTTGGAACACATCCAGCCCCTGCAAACCCTCATGAATGTCCTTCTCAATCGCTCTTGGAATACATGCCTGCCCATGCAACCCCTCATGAATGTCCTTCTCAATCCGTCCTAGAATGCATGCCTGCCCATGCAAACCCTCATGAATGTCCTTATCAATCCCTCTTGGAATACATGCCAGCCCATGCAAACCCTCATGAATGTCCTTCTCAATCCCTCCTAGAATGCATGCCTGCCCATGCAAACCCTCATGAATGTCCTTATCAATCCCTCTTGGAATACATGCCAGCCCATGCAAACCCTCATGAATGTCCTTCTCAATCCCTCCTAGAATGCATGCCAGCCCCTCATGAATGTCCTTCTCAATCCCTCCTGGAATGCATGCCTGCCCATGCAAACCCTCATGAATTTCCTTCTCAATCCCTCTTGGAATACATGCCTGCCCATGCAAACCCTCATGAATGTCCTTCTCAATCCCTCTTGGAATACATGCCTGCCCATGCAACCCCTCATGAATGTCCTTCTCAATCCCTCCTAGAATGCATGCCTGCCCATGCAAACCCTCATGAATGTCCTTCTCAATCCCTCTTGGAATACATGCCTGCCCATGCAAACCCTCATGAATGTCCTTCTCAATCCCTCCTAGAATGCAAACCCTCATGAATGTCCTTCTCAATCCCTCTTGGAATACATGCCTGCCCATGCAAACCCTCATGAATGTCCTTCTCAATCCCTCTTGGAATACATGCCTGCCCATGCAACCCCTCATGAATGTCCTTCTCAATCCCTCCTAGAATGCATGCCTGCCCATGCAAACCCTCATGAATGTCCTTCTCAATCCCTCTTGGAATCCATGCCAGCCCATGCAAACCCGCATGAATGTCCTTCTCAATCCCTCCTCGAATGCATGCCAGCCCATGCAAACCCTCATGAATGTCCTTATCAATCCCTCTTGGAATACATGCCTGCCCATGCAAACCCTCATGAATGTCCTTCTCAATCCCTCCTGAAATGCATGCCAGCCCCTCATGAATGTCCTTCTCAATCCCTCCTGGAATGCATGCCTGCCCATGCAAACCCTCATGAATTTCCTTCTCA